CGGGCGTGGACCATTTCTGGGGCCGGAGCCATTTATTGCTAAGGAAGAGAATAGGTCTTGTTTACATCTCAGGGAAGCTGGGCCGTCCTTCCTGAGAGGGGGAGTGGTCTGTTTACATCCGCAGGAAAAACTTGGAGAGGGCTCTTTTTATATGAAGAGGGAGAGAACTGTGTTAAGGGTTGGGTAGGAACTGCTTAGTTTACTAGGAATGGCAGGGCATCCGAGAGAGGGGGAAAGCAGGAGGTTGTATCAGAAAATGAGGCCGAAATAGATACTCTTACTCATTTGGCAAATAATTAGTTTGGGGTTTGAGCCAATGTAAGATAGTGGGACAGGCAGGCAGCCTGCTCACAGCTACTATTACAGGCTGAATGCTTTTGAGAATGGTCAGTCTATGGAATATAGGAAGCAAATAGGATTGGCAGTATTTTTTTATATGGGAGAGTTCTGAAAGTCTAAACATGGGTTAGAGTTGAGCAAAAGGAAACATGAATAGAGGAAGCTGTTAGGGAAATATGAAATGGAAAAAATAAACCAGAAATGGGGGATCTAAGAGGTGAATGAATCTGGTGTGTATTTGTAAAAATATTCTGGGAGTGGGTTCCTTTCAAGATTACCTATTAAAATTGATTAAATTATTCTCTGGTTTTCTCAGTAGCAGAGCCCTAATTCTATTTATTTATGTCCTTGTGTCTTCTGTTCATAGACCTTTTTGCGAGTAAGGGCAAACAGACAGACTCGGCTGAATGGTGAGTGAGACCTATACTCTTGTCTTTTTGTTATGGGATAATGGTTTCCGATATTAGTGTCTGATGGGGCTAATGCTCTTTCTTTATAAGGTACTCTAGCAAGTTGTGGCCTACAGTTTTAAAGCCTTACTCATCATATGTGTTACTAACTTGTTTTTGTTCCTTTGAATCCTTTCTAAGTTGGTGCTGTCCTTCTTACTACCAGTACTGGATGCTGTTTCAAATGAGATACTACTAGAGCCAAGTATAGAATTATTTTCAGTGTCCTTATTTCACATTTTTCCTTTGGATATAACAAGGTTGGTAGTTTTTGCAACAACACTTCACATGTGCTGTTCTTCAATTTCTCATCAACCATATTTCCCAACTACCTTCAGTATTGTGCTTTTGATAGTTATCTTTGATGTGTGCTTAATGTTTTATACAAGTCACACGCAGCCATTATAATTGCTTTTTTATATTTTATCTCCGGCCCCCATACTCTTTGGCATTTTGTGGAGAATCAAGATTAACCTTTCATTTGACTTTTCCCCTTTGGATCTGGATTGCTGCATAGTCCCAGCATATTCTCAGTTCCTCCAGTTTGGTTGCATGGAGGAGATAAGAAGCTTTTACTTCCTTTTGAGATTTATTACAAGTTAGTATATCATTTGGTTTGTCATAACCAAACTTAATTTGAAAAAAGTAATCCCATGGTTTAGGGTTGACTTGTTTCACTTAGGTAGCTAAGATTAACCTGAATTTTTCTGTAGTTAGCTGTGGAAATTAATTTTGGATGAGAAGACTTCTTTCTTCTCCCTTCTTCCTTTCCAACAGCTGTCACATATATACCCCCCAAATTTGTTCCTAACTCTGATTGTAAGACTCCCCTGCTCACCAGAATGGATTTTGAGGGTGTGTTAAGGGAAAATCATTGCCTCCACCTTTATTTTGCTGACCAAAACTGCTTATAATTATATGCCTTGTGGTTATTCCAGAGCAGAGTGGGGATTCACAGTTAAGACTTATTGCTATTTGCTTTTATTACAGTAAATTATATTTTATTTGTACACTTGAACCAGACCAGAACCTTTGTGCTAGATCACTGTATATATAATAAAATGTTGCTTTTTATGAACCCCTGTTTAGAAAACTTTGAATGCAATAGATGAAATTTTAGTTTGGATTCCACCCCCCCAGATACAAAGCCCATTTTTTCTGAAGTAGTTTGGACAATTGACTTATGTAATTTCCATAAATATATAATTGATGTAACACATCATTTGTGTAGTTTATGTAAGTACAGTTATATAACTGAAAATTGCATACATGATGTCAATTATATTCATTTGGATTTAGTGAGCATTCAGATTTAACAGACAAACCTTCCATTCCTTCCCCCACCCCACCCCACCCCACCCCAAAAAAATGCTCTATAAAATTGAAGTTTTACTGTACAGTACTTGGTGTTTCAACTTGGATCTTACTACTTGTTTTTTTTATAACAGTTTGATTATTATCTTATACTTCATTGCCCAGGGGAACAGTTAAGCTTCTGTGATAGTTAAGACTGAAGAGTCAGGAATAGACTACAATTTGGGTGTTGCTTAATAATGCTGAGGTGCTGATTTATTTGTATTTCTCCTTCATGCTTTCTAAACACTTAAAATACTTTGAAATACTTTCATCTGTAAAACAAACTCAATTATAAGCTCAAGTAACATAGGAATTATTTGTCTAAGCATGTAAGGAGTGCCAAATTCCTTTAATCAGAGTTGATTTCCTTTAATTTGGAGTTGTTAAAAACTTAATGTAGTGTTGCACATTAAGTATTCTTTTGTCTAGTTTTTTCTTACAGCTACAAAAGATTCAGGGATCTTAGACTTTGAAGAGGTGGCCATGCTTGTATTGGATATAAGTAATAGAGGATTTGTTAATCTACTTAAGTATATTTTAAACATGCTCAAACAGAGATACTCATTTCTACTGATTAAGAATTACCAGTTGTTAAGAGCTGACTAGGATCGTTATATGAGATAGGTGGCCATATAAGTTCTTTAAATAAATAATGATGTACACGTTAACCCTGAAGATGATAATTGTGTCAGTTTGCTTCAAGGGTGAATTGAATACAGTTCTTAACTATTCCAATCTGGGATATGCAGAAGAAAGGCTAGGATCTAATGACTGATAAACAAGCAAAAGAAGTTAGAAACTAATAACTAATAGGTAGGTTAATAGACTAGAAAGAAAACATGCTGGGTTTTTCTGTTGAATAGAGTACTCAACATAGGTAGAATGTGGAATGCAAACTCAGGTTTTAGTATGTAAATGATAACCAAGACATAGAACATAACATAGGCATAGCCTCAAGGTTTCCAGCAATATAAAAGCTATGTAATACATACAAAATAAGGGCTTGCAAAACGTAAGTGGGGAATTGGGAAAACAAAGGCAGAATATGAAAAAGAGCGGGGCCTGACCCCAGCAAAAGTCATGAGAATCTAACCATTTCCTACAGAGACATTCTGTCATGCACATTCATATATTAGGTAATTGCTTCGGCACAGAGACCTTCTAAGACTCTCCAAATAACCAGATAAATCAGAACATCTATATGAGACAGCATAGATTAAGACTAAGCCTAAATTCTGGCAGTTTGGATCAACAAAACAAAAGCTGTCACAATTGTGTGCTAATGTGCAGAAAAGGAAGCAGTGACACAAATGTATTTGAAATAACTTTTTGTAGCAATTTGGATCCATGATTAGTCCAATCAAAGAAGGAATGTTTGTTAGGTTAAAAAAGTGGATGTCAACAACACCATGGTTCATGAAATCATTCCAGTGGCAGAATTTTTATTGTAATATTAATGACAACAAATGACTTCCCTATACCCCTGGTTGTTTCAGCAAAATAAATGTAATAATTTTAAATATCTTGTACCTTAAAACTATCAAACTTTCTTGGTTCATGTCCACTTCATTGATAGAGCAAAGTCCCTTACATAATTTAACCTCAACTATATTATAACATGAGTATGATTGCAAAAGCTTATAACAGTATTTAAGGTGATGTAAGATGGAGGGAGGGACTGCAAAAACTAACCTGGCTAACTCTTTGGAATCTTAACTGAATGTTAGTTTTCCTGTTGTTTCATTCAGGCTTATTTTTTTAAAAAAATCTTTGGCTTAAACATTAGGAAAAAATCAACCAGGCCCCTCTCTTTGCTCCTGTGACAAGAGTACAGGGGAGAAGGATTAGTGAGCTAATTAGAAATGATTTCATCTATCAGCACTAATTAACAATACTGTGGTCTCACTTGTGTGTTCTTTTGAGCTGTTCTCCTTTGGGACAGCTCAGCAGTTGCCCCCCTTCCTCTGGGGCTACTCCATCCTTCCTATGCTGATTAGAAGTGATAGCTGAGCTTTATAGCGGCAATTGGAAATTCTACTCACTGTGGTTTTTCAAATAGCCTCAATTCCTTGTTCTCATTCCTGAGTTCCACCATCAAGCTATTGCTAACTTTTTGTTATCTTCCTTTTGCTGTACTTACTGTTTGGCTTCTGCCATTCTAATTTTGTGGGCAGGAGCATTTTTTGTTTGCAATAATTGTTACATATTTCTTAAAGCTATCTCCACCACTGAGAGTACATAATAACAATATGATTTTGTTTTATGTCAAGCATTCATCAACCTAAGAAAAATCAAAACCCTTTGCGTTGCCTGGGTATCATGCTAGCATATATATGATAAGCATAACAGTCTACCAACATGAAATTGGCTCCAAAATATTTAGGTTTATTGTAAGGACAGAAATGTAGAAGCTTTGCAAATATATTTAGAATTCATGTTATTAAGATTGCTGTTTTACAAACTGCTTTACAATTTCTCCCTCAACTACCATCACAGGCTTTGCAGTAAAAGATTTATTTTAAAAAGTTGCCATTGGCAGTCAGAAAGTTACCCAAGATAGTCCTGGAGGAAAATAAGAAACATTATCAACATTCTGGTGTTTTAGGATGGTTTTAAAAATACACAAAAAGTATTGAAAGTATAACATGGAAGGAAGTCTTTCTGATTGCAAATGAACTGGATGAGTGATTGAGATCTTCAAGAATAAGTCATTGTAGATTTTGATAGTGACTTCAGATAAGGAGATGTCTGATACCAGTATCCTTTAGTGCATGTTTACAACCATTTTTTCTGGGGTGAATAACACTTGCATGAATAGGGAAGGAGCTTTATGTGCAGCTTCCTATATGAGAGTTTCTACTTTCCTTTCAAGAAAAGGGTGGCCTGTTTAATGTGAAACTACATTTAGGATCTTGGGTATGGAGTTGTTTTATATTTGTCTGTTCCTGAAAACATGAGAGAAACTATTAGGTATGGCCTTTCTACACTGGAGAAGTCCCTAATTTCTTTGACTTAATACACGTTACATGTGTTCTGCCTGGTCTGGCCACCTTCTGCTGTTGTTTCTTGTCCCATTCTCTGTGATTCAATTACAGCAGGGTTTATTGCTACATGTAATTTTTGTTTTGTATAAGTGTCCTAAAACTAAATCTGAGAAGATAAAAATAGCAAGTGCCATTTGTGCTACTTTAGAGAAACAATCCAGAGCAAATGGGACCTTGCACTATGTATTTGCTGAAAAGTAGGTGCCTGTGAATTTGTTGGGAATGGTTATGTTATTTGAAAAGAGGAAAAAATGTGATTGAAAGAAAAAAGGAAGAAGTTCAGGCAGGCAGACTGAGAGGGTAATTCCCTTCAAATATTTGCATGACTGATTAATTTATGGTCAACTGAAGGTGACCATGTAATCAAACAAACTGACTTTGTTTTTCCTGCATTTGCCTTCTTGAATTATTAGTAGCAATTTACATCTACAATCATTCCTATCCATATTTTGTCTTTCAATTCTTCCTTTAAAGTATTTTTGAGACCTTTCTTCATATTTGGTATGAATTCTATGCAGTTGTAACAAATATAGCATTTGTGTTACATATCTGTGCAACATATAGCAACACATAACCAGCTCATGATGTCAAAATTTGCCTGGACCTGTATACCTTACTGATCAGTGTTTCTGAAGTGTACTTATTAATGATGATTTGTGCACATTTAATGATGGCCAAGATCAAGTAGTTGGGTTCAAAATAGGTTCTCTTGTCTGACACTTGTCTCTAGTCTAGGAAAAAAAAAATACTCTTCAAAACATTCAAAACGCTTTCAAATTCTGTGATAGGAATAAAAAGTGCATATTCTTTGTTGTTTATTCTCAATCTGATAAGAGCAAAACAGGATTTTAGGACTGAATTGAATACAAGAAATGGATGGGGTTGAAAATAATACTGAGTGAAGTTTTCTTCCAAACTCTTTCAGCCTATTTTAAATATTTATTTAAACTATTAGCGTTTTTCTTCATATTTCAAATTCTCTTTAAGTAGAAGTGCTTGCATAACTTTGTAGGATATATGAAAGTTGCTTCAAAAGAGGGTTTGATTTATGTCCACTTTAACCTGAGACCTAATTTGCTGCCATTCACCCTATTATTCTGTGTCTCCCCCCACCCACCGATCCCCAGACAGGCAAAAATCAGGCTGAGAATAGCAAGGGGTTTGTAGCCTCAGTACAATCACCAGGAGTTGAACTCAGCTCAAGGTAGTCTACCTTGACTTACAGGTGAAAATGAGAGATCTTTGCCTGACACTCCTATTTGCACACTTAATTTTGTAATAAATATGCACCTTGAAAATTTGACCATTTTGCTATCAGATTTCATGCTTGATCTTGAGGCTGGGGGGAGGCAGTAAAAGCATCACTTTCTCTTACAGTAGTTTGAAAGTGTTCCATAATAGAGTATTTTAAAATAAATCTAGTTGCGAATCTTGAAGGCAAAATTGTTACTGATGACTTGTTCTGGGGTGGATCCAGAGGATGTCTGCTTCAACTGATATCCTGCTTTGAGGCAACTCGAATGGCTCTAGGCTTTTTCTAGAAAGGGACAGTGTTAATAAGAACAATAGAGCTAAGCATGAGGACAAGGAATTTGATTTGTGTTTGACTGTGCCATGAAGATGGCAAGATGAAGAGAATTAAGTTTAGACTGCTCAAGATAAAATTCAAGCATGTGTGCTACTGCCTTCCTAACTACATATGTATTAAGTTGTCCCTTGCAAGGAATAGTATGGATACTATTGACACTGGATGGAGAAGGGGCTAATTGTTTGTCTGAAAATCTTACAAATTTAACCTGTTGTATTTTTCTTCTATCTCTGCTTTCCTTGCACAGCTCGGATTGGAAAAATGAAAAGGAGGAAGCAAGACGAAGGACAGGTATGTCCCCTCTGCAGCCAGCCTCTCTCAGGATCCGAGGAGGAGAGGAGTGGGCATGTCGAACAATGCCTTGCAAAGGTAGAAATGCTAAGGGATCCCTTACTGCCTCTCCTTTCTTTCTTTCTACACTCTACTATGCCTGATATCTGATAGAAGTCAAAGTTGCCAGTTGAAGACCTCAGGCTTAAATGTTCCTTTGCAGATCTACTTGATTTCTTGCTTATCATTTTGGCAGTCTCGTTATGTTACAGCCAATCTTCCTAGCCTTTCAAATGACAATGGATTGTAGCCTCAGTTGCTATTGCAGTAGCAGTGGCAGTCAGCACCCTCCCCACTGATACTGAGATTGAGCCACTGAAATGCAGTGAGAAAATGGCTGGATTTTTGCAACAACCTTTCTTTTTGGGTGGGGCTTAGGGAGAATTTAATCATAGAAATTCTCATCCTTAAAACTCCTTAAACATGCACAAAAAAAAAGCCCTCCAAAATTAGTATATGACCTTTCTGGTGATGTCACTATATCACTGGGCACCCTTCTGTAGCCCTCCAGAAGCATAGGAAGCAAGTTGTGACCTGTAATTTTGGTCTCTTCAGAAGTTATTTACTCCTGAGTTATAGAAGGCTTTTTCTATTTTTCCTGGAGCTTGATTATACTGTACAACTGTAGTTTAACATTAATGCAGTAAAATTGAGAAATAAATATGTATTGGAGAGGAGAAGTGAAGCCAGTTCTTTTTCACCCTCAAGATTAAACAAGTTGGCACCAAATACTTCAAGTTATTTAAACTCTACTTTTAACAAAAAGTGACCACACAGATCTAGATAAACAATATTCTAGTTTTATTGAGTTTATTGTACTTTGAATCTAGTTTTCCTATACCGTTTATAGCATTTGTTAGGGTGCTCAGTAATTTCCTGGTGGAGTAAAGCCTGTCATTCTGATCATGACAGGTATAGCACTCTTTAAAATAGCTGACCATGGCCTGGCGTTAGTACAGTTGAAGTGACATTGCTGATGTGGCTATTTTTGCCTAATGTTAAATTAAATCATGTCTTCAAAATCAGTACTTGGCTATTGTCCTTACTATTCAGTATACATAACATTGAAGTAGCCACACACATAAATAACTGTGATAGCGGTTCATGAACACCATAGTTGTATATGAGAAGGCATTATTTCCCAGTAACAAAAATAATTCTAAAGCTTGCTCCAGAATGATCAATTCTAATCCAGCAGAAGCTCCACTTTTCTGCTTATTCCAGCTTTCTCATTTTATTGGATTTGTTCATACAGGAACAACATTGAAATTGGGTTGGTTTTTTTGCGGGAGTGCTTAATGCAGTGTTTGATGCTAGCCCTTGTGGGTTCATGTCTTTGAACATAGCATGCTGTGCAAATCCAGTCAGTTCTGATTTATTCGTTAAACAAAATATTACAATTTGTATTAGTCATTGTGTTTCAGTTATTTATAAATTTTAGACAAGTTCTTTCTGTAGTATAAAGGACATTTTTCTGTTTCTTCCTTGCTAAAACACACCATTACAGCTTGCTCCAGCAGATAGAATGTTAGAAAGTTCTCAGTTCAAATTCCAATTTGACAATGAATTTATTGGGTGGATTTAGGTAATCCTGGGTATTCTTTAAGTATTCTAGTCTTGAATCTCCACAGTTTTAAATTATATTTCTTCTTGGGACTCTCATAATGTTAAACTAATACTCTAAATTTAATGTTTAATGTGAGTAATTATTTCTTTGGCATCGCCATAACATTTTACCATTGTTATTAAGCAGCTTGACCGTGCAAATTTCTCCATCACTCAGTTTTTCTCTATAATTTACCTTGGCATAATAATCCCTACTAGGATGAATATTATCTATTTTCTAAGATACTAAAATGACGCTTAATGTTTTATTTACTCAGAGGGAAGGGTCATGCATGATGGAGGACGACCCTGTTGACATTGAGAATGAGAACGGTAATCGCTTTGAAGAATATGAATGGTGTGGGCAGAAGAGAATACGTGCTACCACCCTCCTTGAAGGAGGGTTCAGAGGTAAATTTCCCTTCTTAGTTCTTAAAGTTCAATTACTTTAGGGGAGCTTTTTGATATTATTAAATGTTGTACCTATTGTAGTTGAGGAGTTAAATCTTATAAGCTGTAACAGGCCATCTGTATACTGTTTCAGTGTATTGAAGGTTGCATTTCTGCTAGTATAAAAATTACTTTTCTGCACCTATGAAAACAGAATAAAATTGTTGGATTTATAAATATTATTTTATTATTGAGATAACATTGCTCAAAGTGGGAGAGATATTGCCAAAGGCCAGTCAGTTTCAGTGATACCCGCATTTTTAAAAATGGTGAAAAATGGAACTGTAAATAGCCCCAATCTAGAGTGACGAAAGCAAGTTTATCAGCTGCTGTTGATGTATGGAAGTTGACAGCTAAGTCTCTTTAGCACCTGCATAAAATATTAAAGGACCAGTTATGCATTTATCACTCCATCTTTTTTAAGGCTGATAAATGAGAATTCACCAACCTGCCATACACCTCCAGCACTCCAGCCCTGAGGGCTTCCAGACAAACACATCTTATTTTTCCTCTTTCTATTCTTTCCCCTGTGACCGGAAAAATGGCTGCAAAGGAGTGAATGAGTTATGGCAAAATGTGACCTTTGTGAGTTTTATTGGTGAATGTAATTTTAACTGTGCACCTGGCTCCTTTCTTCTACTCAGCCTTTTGCTCTGTGTCAGGATTGACTAAACTGATTGAGAACCTTGTGATTTTTGTGGAAAATGTTGCATCCTTCTGAGCAGGGAAGCTGGTATACTTTTCTATCACAGTTAAAGTTTGCAACCTGTTGTGTGTAATAACTTACCTACATTTAAATTTGAAATATCCAAAGAGAAAAATCACACTGATGCAGAGTGAGGTTTCAAAATTGAATCAATTATTTGGAGTTATAAAGGATGCTTATAGGCATCTGTTCCTAACCATGATGATGCCAAAATGATAAAACATGAGTAGTGACATAGTTATTTAAGCTTTGCCCTTTTGTATATGCATTGCAGTGTTGTATGTAAGGGACAGCATTTGCATCATAGTGCATCTTTCACTTGCCCCTCCCTTCCCCTCCCCAGCCTCTGCCTGTGGACACCGATGATGGTGTTCCCTTTTTCAGGTTTCCTTCACACTTTTCAGTATGAATAAATCATGACTAAAGCAGATGGGTCAGAATTCAGCCATTTCTTTTGGACTATCCATGCCTTCTTATCCAGTGATCTAATGATTTGTTTCTATCAGATATCCTAGTGTCATTTTCTCCAGCACCATAAACCACCATTGGTAAATCTTCCCACTGAATCTTCTGTCACTGTCATCTCAGATTTCCTGCATGTGCTTCAGGCTTCTTATCCAACTAATGCAAGATCTTTATTCTCTTATTTTTAGATAAGACTATCCTGCAGTTAGTGTAAAAAATCCAGGAAGGTAACTTAAGTTGCATCAGTATAATTTAGAATTTTTAATTAGAACAATTTTCCATGCTGTTTTTATCCTTTTTCAAATACTTTACAGTACTATAGTGGCTCAACCATTTGCTAGAAAACAACAGTTTGATAATCCTTTTTCTTTTAATGTTAAGGGGAAAAAGAAGATAGATATATTTAACATTAGCTTTCTGAGTTTCTGCCTTCTGCATATTCTTTACAGTATTTCCACTGCCTATGCAGCCTCTTGATGTTTCCAAGCTCTTATCTTAACAGATTCAAGAGACAGTGGTACTGAGTTCTGTACTTAAAATATTATAAGTTGTTGCTAAAACATATACTTACAAAACCCCCTTGAACTGGGCATTCCATGTTAGATACCTTTTAAGAGTGAAAACCTACATTTGCATCCCACTGTTAAAATGAACATTAATATCGTAACTCATTTAAACCTGACTGGATGCTAATTCTTTCTAGCAGTATAGTTTACACTTTGTGTTAAGCTATAATTTGTTTAAACTGTGCTTAGCTGACAATCATATTGTTTAGGGTTCACTTAGAATGATGAGAAATCCAAATGTATGGCTTATTAAATTATTAAAACAAACCACGGCTTAGTAAAAGGTGTGAACCCATCCACTATGCATCTGTATAAATTTTGTACTGGGAGAGGTACAGCTAGATGGACTGTAAGGCTGAAACCTAGATTTGACAGAAATGTACTTGTTAGCGAATTGCACTTCATGCAGTTATTTCCTTTATCACACGATCTTACTCTTTTCATACTCTTGGCAGGTTAGTGCTGTCTTTTTGATCTTTTTTTTCTGTCTTTGTTTAGTTCAATATTTCCTAACATTCTGATAACTGAGGCACATTTTTCTGATTAAAAAATGACAATATTTTTTTACAACACACACACACACACACACACACACACACACAGAGATTTGTGTATATATATTTATGTGAAAAACCTATGATTGTATGGAGGGGAGCTGTTGCTCTCCTTGCAGGTCAGATTCACTTGTGTTCTAGTTTGGAGTGTTAGGTCTACTGTAGCAGCAAATACTATTTCTGCTGAAGGAAGTAAATTTACTCAAATCCTCAAAAAGTTCTTTGTAGACTCCCTAGTCAGTGGAACAAATGTACCTGTTGGGCTTCTATATCTGCTAAGTTTTGTGGAGAGTTATCTCCTATTATATACTGTATGTCTAAAGTTCCACATCACATTCTGCTCCTGAACCACAGGCATTGAGTTTTTATTGTCTTAATTTGTTAACTTCCTAGTATTTGTAACAATTCCTCCATTGTTTTCAAGAACAGCTGCTCATTTCCATTAAGTATTTACACTGTGAGGTTATCCTTTTAAAGAATTACAGAGTGAGATTCAAAAATGTCTTTTTTCTTTGAAAGCTTAGCATTTTTTTTAACATGACTGCTACTTGAAAGAGCGAGTGGGAGGGAGAATGGGTGACAAAAGTGCTTTATCTGAAAAGAATCATATTGGCTTTGTGCTGATAGAGGTTGCTGTCATCTCTTAAATGGCTTAGTGCAGTCAAAAGGCAAGCAGACTTAAAACAGTGTCTTACATGAGGATCGATGGAGGAAACATGACGGTGGTAACTGTGAGGAAAAAAGGGTGAAGGCAGGGGAGATAACAGTAATGATTGCATGGAGGGGAGCTGGAAGCAGGCCTGTTCTTTGTGGCAACCTGGCTTGAAAGGAGCCTGAGCCAGTTGGTTCCCAGAATCTGGCTGCCTCTCTATGTCTAATCCCCCTTGTTGTCACAATTGGGCTACTTCTTTCAAGGCCTACAAGGTTATCTTTCTGGAAATGTCAGTTTCACTTTTATGAGAGTTTTGGTCAAAAAGCATCTTGCGTCATTCTTTTAGCCAAAGTAAGTAAATGGGGAGGGAGCAGTGCTTCTGAATGGCATAAGGGAAGAGCCATCTACAGCTGGGAGGGTGGGGGGAATGGTATGTCAGTTTATTGATTGCACCTTAGCCAGGAGAGCTGCAGGCATAGCTCTGTGGGCACGAGCAGCAACACTCCTAATGTGATTGAAAGGCAGTTAAAATGGCGGTGACCTTTTCAGGGGGAATTAGATTGCCTGCCAAGAGTGGTTAGAGGGAGTGATAACGCCAGCTTGAGGAAGCTGTCCAGGCAACTTCAGAGAGAGAGAGGGAGACAGACAGACAGGAAAAGCAAGCGAGCAGCAACGTCCCATTTAAACTCTGAGCTCTGCTGTCTGATAGAGCTGAGATTGCTGCCCTCTCCAGATATGAAAGGGTTGGAGAATGTAGTTAAGTTGTCTTTCTTTGCCTTTCTCGTACTGAATCTTTAAGTATGACAACAACTGGTCAACTGTCTATTCACTTGACATTCTTGGGAATTTCACTTGCTTTGAAATAGTCATTAAGACAACATGTAAGGCTTTTTAAAAGAGTGATTAACAGAACGCTAAGATGAATGCTACATGAAAATCTGATTTGAAGATCTTTCTTTTATGAGCAGCTTAGTATAACATAGTATGTTGGTTTGAAAGTGCTAACATCCCTGCTAACAAAGAAGCCTTTCCTTTCCTGGTGTTCCATATTTCTTTGCAGGAAAGAGTACCAGCCACCAGGGACCCTTTTAAATAGTGTATCTCTGAATTCCAGATGCTGTAGGTGGGCAAATGGTTGCCATTATGCCTGCCTTCTAGCTTCTTGTAGATATCTCTTGGTTCCTGGATGCTGAACTCAGTGGACTGATAATGTGATCAGCAGGCTTCTTAATTTGCCAAGTGAAAGCCCAGCACAGGACCCTAATTTTCTGCTGCAGCAAAATATTTCATGGTTTCATCTGCAGTTGTTATGACTGTTTGAGAATCAGACTGATTAAAATATAAATGCCAGGCATTTCCAGCAGATGGCTGTCATCCAGCTGGTGGTTTGCAGCTAATTGAAATGCTTTTTGGTGTGGGCACTGATGTCACAGTATGCTTGCTGCAAAGTAAACCGTGTAAGTAGCATCAGCTATAGCAACTCTTGTGTATGTGTATAGAAACTAGAAGCATTGTAAATATTGTATTAGAAATGGTAGAGCTCTCGTCCTGTAATCCAGGAAACAAAGCATCATGACAAGTTCAGTGTAAACATCTGATTTAGTCCTGCCAATATGAGAATGGATTTGTCTGTCCTTTCTAATACTTCTAAGGTAATGGCATAAAGAAGTAATATGTTCCTGTCCCTTATAATTTATGCCATAAATGTGGGTATCATTGTTTCATCTCTGGAACATCAGAAGGAAGGAAAATAGCTTTGCAAACTGTTCTACATGAAGCTATGAGGCCTCTATCTGATTTTATTAATTTGTGATTTTATTAATTTATGAGTTGGATTTTATTAGGTTGTGTTGTTATTTAAGATCATACCAAAGAGTGCTGGCCAGTGATATTCCTGCAAGCTATAAAGAGTTTTCAGGGGACCAGTAAGGAAATAAAAAGAATCTCTAGTATGTACAGATCCTTTCAATAAATCTGTAATTTTTGATATTCATAATTCTCAATTGAACTACTTCCAA